AATGGCCAATCAGTATTTTATTAAAAATAATACAAGTAACAGGATAAAAGACCATTGTCCCACAACACTGTGCTATGGACATTTGTTATATTTAAGGGTGTTGGTTACAAATTGTTATTGATCATATTTTTTAAAAAAATTAAACAAAAGAGTTAAATTCAAAGATTTCTTTCTCAAGGAAAAAAGAGGAATATGATGTAGGAATGATAGGAAAAAGGGTAGATTATTGAATCTGCTTTAAATAGAAAACAACTATCAATCTCAAAATATTTTACATTGGTATGAACGTTAGTTTATTGATACACATTTAATGTCAATTTTGTTTTATTATATGTATGTTTCTACTCTTGATTGGGGTATTGTGTTTATGCAGCTCATTTAAAAATACAGATTAATTACCATGCACAAAACTCAAGTCCAAATGGATCAAAGACCTCAACATAAAGTCATCCACACTGAACCTCGTAGAAGAGAAGTTGGAAAGTACACTTGAACACATTGGCACAGGAGATCACTTTCTAAATATAACACCAGTAACACAGACACTGAGAGAAACAATTAATAAATGGGACCTCCTGAAACTGGAAAGCTTCTGTAAAGCAAAGGACACAGTCAACAAGACAAAACAACACCCTACAGAATGGGAAAAGATCTTCACCAACCCCACATCAGACAGAGGGATAATCTCCAGAATATATAAAGAACTCAACAAATTAAATATCAAAATTTCAAATAAACCAATTTAAAAAATGACATACAGATCTAAACAAAGAATTTTCAACAGAAGAATCTAAAATGGCTAAAAGACACTTGAGAAAATGCTCAACATCCTCAGCCATCAGGGAAACACAAATCAAAACAACTCTGAGATACCATCTTACACTGATCAGAATGGCTAAGATAAAAAACTCTGATGACAACTTATGCTGGAGAGGGTGTGGAGTAGTGGGAACACTCCTGTATTGCTGGTGGGAGTGCAAAATTATACAGCCACTTTGAAAATAAGTATGGTGATTTCTCAAAAAAATTAGGAACCAATCTACCTCAAGGCCCAGCAATACCACTTTTGGGCATATACCCAAAGAAGACATTCACACCACAAGTACATTTGCTCAACTCTGTTCACAGTAGCATTGTCCAGAACATGGAAACAACTGAAGAATGGATAAAAAAATGTGGTACATTTACACAATGGAGTATTACTCAGCAATAAAAAACAATGGCATATTGAAATTTGCAGCCAAATGGACATAACTAGAAAAAAACCCATCCAGAGTGAGGTAATCCTGATCCAGAAAGGAAAATATAGTATGTACTCACTCATAAGTGATACTAGACATAAAGCAAAGGATAACAAGCCCACAATCCACAACCCCAGAGAAGCTAAAACCCTCATCTAGAAACAGATGGAAGCAGATGCAGAGATTCACAACTGACCACTGGGTTGAATTCCCAGAGTACAATTGAAGAGAGGGAGGAGTGCTAATATGAACAAAGGGGTCAAGACCACGATTGAGAAACCCACAGAATCAGCTGACCCAAGCTAGTGGGAGTTTACTGACTCTAGATTGACAACTGGGGAACCTGCACAGGACTGAGCTAGGCCCCCTGAATGCAGCTGACAATGGTGTGGCTTGGGCACCATATGGATTCACTGGCAGTGGCACCAGGATCTACACCTAACACATGAATTGACTTTGTAGAGCCCCTTATCTATGGAGATATACCTTTTTCAGCCTAGGCTGGGGCAGGGCTTTAGTCCTGCCTCAATGAGGTGATGGTACAGACTTAGTTGACTTCTGGGGGAGGCCTTACCCTGTAGGAAGAGCAAATAGGGAGTGGGGTGGGGGGAAGTAGGGAGAGTTGGAGGGGAGAAGGAACGGGGGGGACTGGGATTGGTATGTAAAATAAACAAAACAAAAAAGAAATACAGAATAATAGTCAACTATAATAGTCAGACTTTTTACAATAGTCAAGCTTGTAGTCATTTTAGGTATGTTTCCAAGGTCATACACAGATATATTTAGATAGATAGATGGTCTTCAAACATTTCACAGACCTACAGAATATGGCATTTAGAATTTTTTAATAACATAATACCTTTCTTGACAATGAGGCATATCCGCTCCTGACAGCACCAGTTTGATTCAAAAGAAGATGGTGGGCATTGAATAAATGCTATATGGAATTTGTTTTCTTTATGGCAAAAGCTAACAGTTTGGACAAAGAAACTACCCTTGGCTCATTTGCTAACAGTATACTGTCTAAAATGGCAAGCAGGATGCAAAAAAAAAAAGCAACTGCCAAACTTTGTCAATACAAGGTAGGACAGTCCTTCAAAATTTCCTGCTTCTCAGAAATGTCTGTCAGATATACCAGGCCTGTAGACCAAAGCAGGATGTTCCAATGTTACAGAAGAACATAGGATGTCTATTCAGGCAGCCAGATGCCCTTGTCATTAGCTAACATTTTGCCCTTCTGGGTTCTTTGATGGAGTTAAAGATTAAATAGTTAGGCTTAAAGTTTTTCTAGTTATGATAAAAAGATAAATTAGGTATAAAACTAAGATAAATAACAGAATATTTTCTCTAAGTTTTCCAAATATAAATGGATTGGATATTGAAACTGTAATTCTTACTTGTTAACTGTTTTGTTGTATATAATTTTACTGTGTTATAGTCAAACCTTCCTTTTTTATTTAGACAAAAAGGGAGGAATGTTATGGAATAATCCTTCTATACACTGAAAATGTGTTACTCCCAATGTTAGTAAAAAGCTGATAGGTAGGCAGGATTTTCAGGGCAGAGAGAATTCAGGGAAGAAAAAGGGTAGAGTCTAAGGAGTCTCGAGCCAGATGCAGGAGAAAAAACTTGGGAAAATCATAGATGAGGTAAATGAGCCTCGGGGCAGCACATAGATTGATAAAAAATGGGTCAAATTGCAAGAGCTTGCTGGAGACAAGCCTAAGCTATTGGCCTCTGCGAGAGCAACAGGTGATCTTAACCACTGAGCCATCGCTCCATCCAGCTTTGTTCTGTTTGTTCTTACATGTGAGGCTGGGGTTTTTCTAGGTGGGGGGAGCTTTGGAAAGGAAGGCACTTGTGTGGCACTATGGCTGGGAATGTGCCAACATTTACTCTCCCTAGATAGGGAATTAATGGCAGACCAAAGTCAGGATATCCCCCAAGTTGAGTTTACTGGTGTTACTTATAGGAGTATGGGTCTGGTGTTGCTTACAGGAATAAGAATGACTCAAAAGCAGCTGCACTGCTGAGAGTTTACCCCAGCATGAGTGGCAGCTCCTGCAAGCTGGGACGCTGGAACTCACTGCAGGCCTTGCAGGCAGCTGTATTCAGCCCAGCCTCTTCCAGGTAGCTTGACTTCCGGGAGTGGCCTAGTCTGTCCCCATTGTTTGTATAATCAGGGGAAGGAGAAGCCTGGTTCATTTGGTCAACTTCAGGGACTTCTTGAGGCTTTTGAGTTGTTTACTTTCTGAGTTTTAAAGAGCTTCCCTTTAGACACTGCCCCCCCCCCCCGAAACAGGTTTTAAGTGGCTTATGCTTACCTCAAATTAGCTATGCAGCCAAGCATGACTTTTGGTTTGTGTTCCTCCTTCCTTTTCTTGAATGCTGGCATTACGGACATGCACCAAGCCTGGTGAATAGTCAGTTTTCTTTAGTCAAAGGAAAACAGATCAGTGAAGAAGCACATTAGATAGCTTTTCATTATTGCAACAAAATGCATAAAATAATCCCCTTAAAAAGAGGAAAAATACCAGGAGGTGGTGGCACACACCTTAATCGCAGCATTTGGGAGGCAGAGGTAGGTGGATCTCTGTGAGTTCGAGGCCAGCCTGGTCTACAGAGCAAGTTGCAGGATAGCTAGAACTGTTAACACAGAGAAACCCTGTCTTGGGGAAAAAAAAGAAAGAAAGAAAAGATAGAAGGAGGGGAGAGAGAAAGAGAGAGAGAGAAAAGAGAAGAGAGGGAGAGAGAGAGAGAGAGAGAGAGAAAAGAAGAGAAGAGAGAGAGAGAAAAGAGAAGAGAGGGAGAGAGAGAGAGAGAGAGAAAAGAAGAGAAGAGAGAGAGAGAGAGAGAGAAGAGAAGAGAAGAGAAGAGAAGAGAAGAGAGAGAGAGAATGGGAGAGAAGACTGGCTCCGTGGTTAAGAGAACTGACTGGCTGCTCTTGCAGAGGACGCAGGGTTGGTTCCCAGCACCCACCGGCCTGCAGCTCAGAATCATGTATAGCTCTAGTCTCAAGGGATCAAGTGCCCTCTTCTGGGGGAATGTGTGAACCTGGTGCAAAGAAAAAACACCCATACATGTTAAATAAAAATAAAAAGTGAAAAGAAAGAACATTATTTATTTCAAACTAATTTTAGTAAACTGGGCATGGTGGCGTAGAGCTGTGGCCTCAGGTCTCGGGCTGCTGAGGATGGAGAACTTCTTGGCCTACGTATTTGAGACCAGCCTGGACAGTGCAGTAAGAACTTGTTTCAAAGGATTAGTGGTTGGTCTTGGAGACACAAGTTCATACCATTCCTCCCTTAAGGAAAATTGAGTGATAAGAATGTGATGTTTTTAAAAAGCTTTTAATTTGCAAACACACACACACACACACACACACACACACAGCAAAAACAAAAACAAAAAAACAAACCAGGACTTTCTTCATATAATATGGTCAAGACAAAAAACAGAGTAGTACTTTAATTATGTATGTATGTGCGGGTATGTGCAGGTGTCTGAAGAGGCTGAAGTCCTTGGGCTCCCGTTAGCTGGAGTTAGAGGCAGTTGTGAGCCACGTGACATGAGTGATGGAACTCAAACTCTGCTGTCTGTACGAACATTTTATACTCTTAACCAGGGAGCCGCCTCTCCAGCCCGACATTGTTAGCTTTAACCCCGGGCCTCAGGCAGGAGGATTGTAAATTTTAGGCCATCCTGGGCTGCATATTCAAACTGTTGAAAACAAAACAAAACAACAGAATGTTGATGGAATTATAGAAAAGCATTTTATTCCACACACCGCCTGTGATTTTAATAAGGGATCATAGTGGTTATCAACAATTGGTCAGATAATTTTTTCAGACACTACACACTGGATTCTGGTCTAGTGAACCCTGGGTTCAGTCTTCCTCTCCGATTTCTTTCTTGATCCAGTCAACATAGTTGAGTAACTTGGTGTAGAAGCCATATCCCTCACCACACCCAATACCCCAGGACACGATGCCTGTGGCAATCCAGATATTGCGGTTACGGTCCCTGACAGCAAACACACCTCCACTGTCCCCCTGGCAGGCATCTTGCTTTATAGTTGGGTCCCCAGAGCAGAACATATTTTCAGAAAATACGTCATTGCTCTTTTTTGTCTGGAGCCACCTCTGGCATGCCCTACGATCAGCTACGGGCAGACGGACAAACATGAGTTCAGAAGCAATTTTGTCTTCTTTTATCCCAAAGCCACTGACATAACCCATGAGGCCTTTGTCATAGAAGGTCTCATTGTCAGGGAGACAGATAGGGAGGAGGTCGGGACCCAGGGTGACCCTGTTTTCCAACTCCATCAGGGCAATATCTCCTTCAAAATTGTTAGGCTCTTCTTGGCGGTAGTCGGGATGAATGATGACCCTACGGACTGGGTGATGTCCCAATTTTTCGATCTCTTCCAGATCTATGTGACCAAGGAAAACATCTCTACTGGAGCTGTCTTGTTTGTTCCGATCCTTGGGGTAGATGGTGTGGGCTGCTGTGAGGATCCAGCGGTCCCCAAGCAGGGCCCCGCCCCCGCGCCCATGGATGTTGGTGAATGCCTGCCAGGGGAAGTTGCCGGGTTCGGCTTTCTGCCCTCCGATGATACGCTGCTTCTGCGTCACAGGATTGACAGGCTTCCCACACACTGCAGGGAGACAGGGGATGAGGACCAGTCAGCCCCAGGCCACACCCTCCTTCCTTCTTTGGTTCATTTCACCTCCTCCTCTCTTTGTTGCTCTTGAGTCTTTTGAGTTTGAGAAGCAATTAAGTAATCCTAAAGGCAAAACCCTTGATCTTCCTGTTCCCGTTGTCCATCTTATAGCCAGCCCGTTCTCGACTCATGCCTCTTGTTCACATTTACTCCTTCCCGCAATTTCTCTGACTTGACTTTGATTCCTCCTTTGTGGGCACACTAGACCGGCAGGACTAATTTAGATTTTCTGTGCCTCTCCCTTGGGACCTCCTTCTTGCTCCTTTTCCCCTCCTCCTCCTCAGGTTTTCACTTTGAGCTAAGGCATCTCCTCACTTGACCTCTGCTGTGGGACAATGACCTTGTACCCTGTAAAGATTTGTCAACTGTATTGCTTTAATAAAATGCTGATTGGCCAGTAGCCAGGCAGGAAGTATAGGCAGGGTGACCAGGCTGGAAGTATAGGCAGGGCAACGAGAACAGGAGAATTCTGGGAAGAGGAAAGACTCAGCTTGCAGTTGTAATCCAGACGCAGAGGAAGCAAGATGAGAATGCCTCACTGATAAAAGGTACCAAGCCATGTGGCTAATACAGACAAAAATTATGGGTTAATGTAGGATGTAAGAGTTAATAAGAAGCCTGAGCTACTAGGCCAAACAGTTTTTGATTAATATAAACCACTGTGTGTTTCTTTGGGACTGTGGGACCTGGCATGACAGAAACTACTGTTAACAGACCTCCTTTCTCTATACCAGGCTTTTCCTAAGGCCCCACGATACTGCAAACCACACTTGGGGTGACCCAGTATTTACCTGGAAGACACCGGGGCATCTTCTCCCCTTCCTCTTCATTCTTCCAAATGCCCTGTGCTGTGCAGGTGTATATCCCTATAGACGAAAGGGGTCAGAATCAAGGCTGGAGGTAACAGGCCAGAAAAGCCGGAGCAGAGGCCATTGGACACTGAGGGTATTATATAGGGAGTTGGAGAAAAGAGCCACCAAATCTATATGGACATATAAAAGTGTTAAGAGACTCCACACACATATTTTGTCTTATCATTGAGTGAAAAAAAGTCAGAATACCTAGCTAAATGTATTTGAGGTGATGGCCATTTGTAACAGTAGACTCACACACTGGAAGGAAGCCATCCAAAGCTTCCTTTGGGTAGCAGGATTAGAGATAATAATGCCATATCTTCCTGTATCTTTCTTTCCGGGGTTCATTGTTTAGTAAGGCTCTCCTTGAGTTTGCTATGAAGCTCAAACTGGCCTTGAACTCTCCATCCATCTGCGACAGTCACCACGTCACTGGCATTCCAGGAGTGCAGCACCACAGCCAGCAGCAGCTACATCTTCTGATTGCTGACACTCTGCCATGTTTGTTCCTGAGCATTTATCTGTATGATCCCGTTTAACATGTTGACACTTTCAAGTACGTATTACCTTCATTTTAAAATGACCAAAGCCCTTCCTTCCTTCTTTCCCTCTTCCCTCCCTCCCTCCCTCCCTCCCTCCCTCCCTCCCTCCTTCTCTCCCTTCCTTCTAGTGTTGAAGATGTAATGCAGGGACTCTCACATGGTAGGCAAGTGTATTACCCCTGAGCAATATGCTCAGCCTTGGAATTTTGTCTTTTAAATTTAAAGAGAAATTTTGGTTAGGTATGGTGACATATACATGTAATCCTAACTCTTGGGATATAAAGGCAGGAGAATTAGGTGTTTAAAATTATCTTTGGCTACACAGTGAATTTGAGGATGAGGGGGGAGAAGAGAGGAGAGAGAATATTAACCAATAGGACAGCTGGGTCTATAGCTCAGTGGTAAGAGCGCATGAGAGATGCCCTAGGTTAAATCCCTATGACTACAATAAACCAACCAACCAACCAACCAACCAACCAACCAACCAACCAACCCATAGACAAGTTTGAGAAGCATTAAGTAAATCTAAATGCAAAATCTCACAACACAACAGCCCGAGAGGGGGAGAATGGAGAGGGCATTTCACTGTAAGGGTGATGGTGGTGATGGCTATCATGGTGGTGCAGTGCTATTATTAGTGGTAGAGCTGGTAACAATGACTTTATTGCTAATGGATGGATATGATGGAGGCAGTGTTGATGTGGTGATGATAAGCAGTGATGGTGATATTGGCTTTGGTAATAGTGATGGTGGTGGTGTTGGTGGTAATGTAGTGGAGATCGTTGATGTTGGTAGTGATGGTGGTAATATCAGTGTCGGGGGTGATGTTGGTGTTGCCTGTGGTATTGGTGGTGCCGGTGTTGGTATGATGGTGGCGGTTGTTGGTGATAGAAGTGATGATGATGGTAATATTGGTGGTGTGTCAATGGTAACTGTGATAGTGGTGCTACTGATGGATGATGGCATTGTTACTGGTAGTGGTAGGATTGGTAATGGTTGCGGTGGGGAGGGGGATCTGACGGCTTATGAGAGTCTTTTGCTTGACTTCTATCCACCAGTCTGGGTTCCCATTTCTGCAAACCTATTAGACATTTTGACATTATAATTTGGGATCCTCCAGCCAATACCTAAGACTCTGTTGAAGAAATTTCAGATGTCCCTCACAGCCACAAAGGATTGAGGGCTGTGGTGGGCATCAGCTCCTACCTCGCACGGACTCACTACCGCCAGCTCTGGTCTTCATCTTGTAATATGGTTCACGGCAGTAATATTGGATACGGGCTTCATAGGTGTTCACACCTTTTGTGGTGATGTAGCTGAAGTCGCCATTAGACAGGCTTCGCGGCTGCCCACAGTCCTTGACTTAGAGAGAACAGAGGCTTGTAAGGGAGTGGAGACCACCTGCATGGACACTTCAGCATGAGTGTGAGCTGTCTCAGAGAGCCCCAGAGAAGTGTGGTCAGTAGGGTGGACACTTGCAATGCATGGAGGGAAATTCAGTTCTGGCAGAGCCCATCAGGCCTGAGATGAGGACTTAACTTTCTGAGATGGACCGTGAACTTGGGGGACAAGCCAGGAGCCAAGGTCCTACAGAGGAAAGTCTAGGTTCTTTCCCTCCCAGCTCAAGTCTTTTCTTTTTCTTCCAAGACAGGGTTTCTCTGTAGTTTGGAGCCTGTCCTGGCACTCGCTCTGTAGTCCAGGCTGGCCCTGAACTCACAGAGATCCGCCCGCCTCTGTCTGTCTCTTGAGTGCTGGGATTAAAGGCATGTGCCACCATTGCCTGACTCCAGCTCAATCAAGTCTCAAGACTAAAGGATGGCAGGTCCCTAGGGGCAGGAACATCCAGCTTGTGACTTACTCTTGCATCTGGGCATGGCACGATGCCATGTGCCATCATCCTGGCAAACAGCTGTGAAGGAGAGCAGCACCTGGTTTCCCTGTTAGAGTGGAAATTAGAGCGGCCATCAGCACAGAGCTCCCCGCTTCCATGCTGCACACGGAGTGGAGGGGATATGTTGGCTGATGTGGTGTCCATCTCTTAGACCGCAGGGCTTGAGAGTGTGGCTCCTCCCTCCTCCCGAGCTAGCGCTCTCAGGCCAGGGCTGTAGATGGGATACTGAGTTCCAAAGCAGAAAGTCACAGCAAGGCTAATTGGTAGATTCAATAGTCTTCTTTTAAGTCTCTTGCCTATTTCCACTAGATCCATTCCCCCATCTCCCCAAATTGTAATAAAAATCAAACAAGTCAGGATTGTATTTTTGATTTAAAACAAATGCTATTTTCTGGAATAGACCCCAACTTCTCACTCTTTTGTCCAAGGTCTGCATCACGCTCTCTCCTAGGTTGCAGTTTTTTAAAAATGATTTATTTAACTTTATTTTATGTGCATTGGTGTGAAGGTGTCAGATCTTGTGGAACTGCATTTTCAGACAGTTGTGAGCTGCCATGTGGGTGCTGAGAATTGAACCTGGGTCCTCTGGAAGAGCAGTCAGTGCTCTCTAATGGCTGAGTCATCTCTCCAGCCCCTGCAGTTTTTTTTTTTTTTAAAGCCAGGGCTTTCCCTAAAATACTAGTGCCACTGGGCCATTTTCCTAGGTGTTCAGTGTGATGATATGGCAGGTTAGTGGACAATTGGCACAAGACCAAAAGGTGGCATCCCTTGATAATATTGGGAAATATGAAAACCATTTCTAGACAGGGCCTTGTTATACAGCCTAGGCTGCCTTGGAACTAGCTACGCAGCCTAGGCTGGCCTCAAATTCATGGTTTTCCTGTTCTAACCCCTGGGAGTGCATGTCACAGGTCGCTGCCACACCTGACTATGAATAGCTTATTAAGAGCAAGAATGGGTCTCAGGGCAAATACTTGTAATCTCAGGACTCAGGAAATGGAGGCAGGAGGATAAAAAGTTCGAGTCTACCCTAGTCTGTATAGTGAGACTGACTGTCACCAACAACCAGTCAACCATCCTTCTCCCTGTCTCCTGTACCACATTTCTTCGTCAGTCTGCAAAGCTGGAGTCAGGGCAGTGGGGCTGTGGTGAGACCGCCAATGTGTGTCAAAGAGCCCCAGAAGGTTGGGTCTTGTCCCTGGTGTACAGCAGCCGCTGTGTGGTGTTGAACCAGTCGGGACAACGCCACCCTGACTTTTCAGTTCTTATTCCTACAGCGAGTAATTAAGGTGGTCCAGGAGTGTTTAAGCTTGGCGCACATCCAAACCCCACGGGTAGTTTTCAACAGTGGCCAGGCTGTACTGCAGCCCTGATGGAATTAGATTCTCAAGCAGGGAACCCAGACATCCGTTTCTTAAAGTCCCTCTGAGTGTTTCCAATATATAGGCAATGTCGATTCCCTGTCTCTTCTTGACTGTACCGGGCACCGAACCTTGGACCTCCTGCCTGCTAGGCAAGCATCTGCCACTGAGCCATCCTCAGCCCTCTCTTTTACTTTTGGCTTTGAGACAAGGTCTCATTGAGTCACCCAGCTTGGCCCTGGAACTTGCTCTGTATCTGTGGTGGACCTTGAGCCCCAGTCCCTTTTCTGTGTACTCAGACCAGACACCAGGAGGATTGGGACTTCCAATCCTCAACGGCTCCAGTTGAGTCTACAGTATCAGACTATCTCAGTTTCCCCTTGGACACCGGAGGCTCTCACCTGTCAGCCACAGCCTCTTACCTCCACGAGCTGGTAGCCTTGTTTGCAGGTGACAATGAAGTAATCCCGGAACTGGTACTGAGGCTGCGGATCCTGGATGATGGTGAACTCATCTAGGGCCTTGGGTTGGGGGCACTTGATGACTGTGGGTGAGGCCAGAGGACATGTTCACATCATAGCCGTTTGTCCTTCCTTCTCCCCCACTTTCCCTCATAATTGGCAGGCAAGGAGGGTGCTTAGATATCATATTTTCGTTTTGGGGGGCTGGAGATTGAACCCAAGGTCTCGTGCATATTAAGCACTAGTTTTCCCAGCGCACCACACTCCACCCTCAGCCTCTTACTCTCAGTGGTGTAGTGAAGCTTCCAGCCTCGACTGACCCCCGACTCGTCAGTGAAGAACAGCAGATCGACTGCGTTGCTCCTGGTGTCAAAGTCTGGAGGCCTTTGATTTCCACAGAACTCACCCAGATTCCTCCCATTAGCATAGATCTAAGGGGAAGTGGGAGGGGGATGGATGTTTTTTTCTCCAGAGGGTACATTTCTAAACATGGCCTCTTGGGTATCAGCCTCACAGTCAACGGCGGTGGTAGAGATGGAACCCACCTACCTGGTGTCAGTTTTCGGCTGAAGGTGTACAAGGGCCCTGCCCCTAAGACCCATGACTGCTCTAGACCTCTGTGAAGCTGGTCAGCCATGCGTGATCCTGTCCCACTCAGTCAGTGGACCCGGGAACAAGCAGGGACCCCGGGAGCCATGTGGATGTGTGAAAGAGAGTGTAAGGCTGTACCTGGAGCTGGTCGTAGGGGCAGTGAACTTGCTGGTGGTCGTCGATTTCAAAAGGATCCAGGAACTTGAGGTGCAGAGTGAGGCCCCGCTCTACCCGGATGCTGTAGTTGCAGCGCAGATCGGGAGGGTAGGGTTGAGGGTATTCGAGGCTTGAGATATAGCCGGACGGCTCCGTGTAAAGCCCACTGCTGCACTCAGCTGTGAGCGGAACCAGACAGGTCAGTAGGAATCTCAGGTTGGCTCCGCAAGCCTCTGCTCAGCCCTTGCCACCTCCTCACGCCCACTCTGCCTCACCCTGACAGGTTAGTCCATCTTTCTGAAGCTCATAGCCTGGACGGCAGGAACAGAAGTAGCCTCCGACGTAGTTGTGACACAGCTGTTGGCACCGGGGCTGGTAGCTCCCTTCCACTGTGTTGTACTGGGGTTCGCATTCATCACGGTCTGGAAGGGATTCGGGAAGGAAGGCTTTCCTACCCAGAGGCTTCTGGGGTCAGATGCCCCACTGTTGTGCCATGGCATGGGGGCCTCTTTCCAGAGACTTCTGTGTGGTTCTTTCTCAAAGAGTCATGTACCAGAGGTCAGGAGACAAAGTCTATTTCTGGCCTCTACACCTCCCTGATGTTTCCTGGGAACTGCTTGATGGCAGTAGAACCCAGATTGTCAGGTCCTGTCTTTTCCTCTCTCTCTCTCTCTCTCTCTCTCTCTCTCTCTCTCTCTCTCTCAGTTTTTTTTGAGACAGGGTTTCTCTGTATTAAAGCCCTAGCTGTAATGGAACTAGCTCTTGTAGACCAGGCTGGCCTCGAACTCACAGAGATCCGCTTGCCTCTGCCTCCCAAATGCTGGGATTAAAGGCGTGTGCCACCACCGCCCGGCTGTCAGACCTCATCTTGCTGAGAGAAATAAGAAAAGTCAGGCTCTGGGTTCTTTGGGTTCAGGGTTGTCCCCTGACCACTCCTGTGGCAGAGACCAGAGAGAAGGGCTGGCCCCAGGGACCACTCACCCACAGCCTGGTAGTATGCCAGGAAGCCCTTGTAGAACATGATTGTCCCATTCTCTTCATTGGAGAAATCTGTGTGAAAGGTCAGGAGCATCTTGTTTTCCTCAGATATGAATTCCTTCTCTCCTGGGGGGTTGCCCAGGGGAGACTCCAGCTGCCCACAGAACCTCCCTAGAGTTTTCTTATCAGCAGAAATCTATTGGAGAAAGGACAAGAGAGGAGCCCTGCTAAGGAGCCTACTTCCATGTGGCAGGCCAGCAAAGGTCCTCTCTGTTACCCTGGACTGAATCATGATCTAATGTTACTGTCATATCTGGATGCTATGGACACCTTCAGGTGATGCTTCTTTGTCTATCCCAGTCCTTCATTAATTTTTATTTTTTTAGGTAGGCTCTTACTATGTATCCTAGGCTGGCCTAGATATTTATTAATTTCTCTCTCTCTCTCTCTCTCTCTCTCTCTCTCTCTCTCTGTGTGTGTGTGTGTGTTTGTGTGTATTGGGGACCTGTTGGGGGGCATATACGTGGAGCACAGTGGACAACTTGCAGGCAGGTGTCTTTACCCACTGAGCCATCTTACCAGCCCTAGACTTGCAATTCTTCTGCCTTCCTGTCCTGACGGTTGACTCTTCACCTGCCATTCTGTGCCTGGTCATCTCTCCCCTGTTTCCCCTCCCCCACCCCAAGGCTCCAATCTCACTCATTCCCATCACTTCCTGTACCCTTCTTCCCCAGGAATCCTTGTCTCTAGGTGCCTTGATCATGCCTTCATTTCTCGAGCTTGGATTGGTCATCTTTGGTCTCTGTCATTGTCCCCCTCTTCTTCTCCACCCCACCTCTTCTCACCTGCCTTTCCCTCCTTGGTGTTTTTGAGAAAGTGGCTTGCCTTGAGCTTGCTGTGTAGCCCAGGCTGATCCAAACATTCTAAGTCTCCCTAGTGCTGGGATCACAGAAGCGTGCTACCACGCCCAGGGTTTTGTTTTGTTTTCCATTTCATTGCTTAAAAACCACATTCAGCCTTGTCTCCCGCTCTACTAACTGACACGATCGTGTGCTTGGTACCCAGCAACCTTGGCCCTGACTAGCTTTGTCTGGCATCTTGACCACATTTCCTCTCAGACTCAGTCTCTCAGAAGCCGTAGGTATCTTCCTCACTCACTTCACCAAACGCTGCCCCCGCCCCCGACACTGCAGCCTTGTGGAACCCTCTTTGTTGTGAGGATGTGCAGTTTCCGTGTTATTTTCTGAGCCTCCAAGCTGCTGCTTGAGAAAGACAGTGTGTGGTTGTGCATGGGCCCTGCTTGAATCCTGCCTTTTATCTTTTCTGGACATAGAAAGATGAGGCCGAGAAAGAAGGCCTTTGAAGTGTACAGAGCAGAGGGGACCAAGACCCTTGTCCTCCCTGGAGACCATGTGCAAGCTGCCACATGCTTCATTTCCTCATGCTCCTGATGAGGTAGGTAGCCAGACAGGGAAACTGAGTCACTGCTCTTTCCTAAGGTCTTACAGCTAGCCACCTCCTGACTTCTATACATAGTGAGATCTGGAAAACAAAACAAAAGCCCTTCTCACCCCAACCCATGATTCTTACCCAGGGCCTCAAAACCCATCAATACCCCATTTATGCCACCAGGAACTCAAGGCTAGCACAATGATGGGGTGCAGGCATATTGTCCAGGGGTGTTTAGAGCAGACTTCCAGCTTCTCCAGTGGCCCAGCCTTTTCTCCCTTCCCTCCCAACCTGACTCCTACCTTGACATAGTCATACAGACAGCCTTCAGAAGGCTCCACGTCAAAGTGCCAGAAAACAAGCTTCACCCTGTACCCCACAGGGACTGTGATCACAGTGGTTTCCTCAAAGTCATTGGGGTAAGGCTTTGGATGTAGAGGGGAGGTCACCTCTCCATAGAGCTTCTGAGGGATGTAGATGGAGCCCTCCACACTGCAGAATAGGGTCACCAGAAGGAGGGCAAAGAGTAGCCTGTTAAAGAGAGACAGGGGGCAGTGTTTGTGGGGCTGGAAGGGTGCAGCAACCTTGTTGTTTGGGCTGTTGTGGGGCAAAGATGGGACGATGCCCATCCTTCACTCTGCCCATCTAGACTACACAGAGGTACTGTGAACTGGGCACTGGCAGCCTTTGCAGCTGCTGCAGCGGTGTCTCTCCCAGGCCAGTGTCCAGTCCAGAGGTCACCATGCTCCCATCATGCCCGCTCCCAGCTGCCCCCTCTGCCCTCCTCTTTCATCTCCTTTTCTTCCTGGAATAAGACTGGCTTGGGACCAGCTAACTGAGGGTGAAGACTGTACTGTGAAGGTGCCCAACGCTTCAGCAAAGGCCTTTGGCAGAAACCCTTCACGGAGTCTGAGAAACAGACATAGGGGATTCTCTCCTCATTAAGAGGGTTCCCTCCCCTCCCCTTACCCTGCTATGAACCCAAGGTCAAGAAAAGAGAGGCTGCAGCAGCTCATGTCGAAGAGGAAGGTCCTTGGGAGGAAGGCTGAGGAGTGTGTCCCTGTATATGTGTGTGCACTGGAGACGGGAACTAAAGAAAGGAGAATGCTAGGTTCCTATTCTTCTTCTTTTAAAAATAATGTGGGAACATGCTTGCCTCTTATGCCCAACTCCTCCCTTCTCCCTTGGTGCCCATCAGCCTTACTCACATGTCTTAGGCCGGTTTGTTTTGGGTCCTCAGCTCTTCTGACAGTCTGCAGGCACTGTAAGTTGAAAGAAGGAGTGGGCATGCAGAGGAGGGAAGGGGGAGGGAAGGACTGTGGCAGCGGAGGGGTGGGTGACCATTCCCGGAGGAATGTTGTAGGGAATGAAAACCATTTGCATAAACAAAAAAAATCTGCCTTCCCAGTTTAGTTTTGGTTTTGAAATCCCTGATGCTGGTGCCACCTGGTGGTTTACATGGGGAAGGGTAGAGGAGATGGGATCTAAGTTTTTAGGGGTAAGAAACATTTGGTTGGAGGTCCAGATTCCGGAGTTCTAAATCTGATTAGCATTTTCTCAGAGGCTTTCCTGGGGGCTGCTAGCTGAGCTTTATTGGAGGTTCCTCGTCAAAGGCATCACTGACCATGGAGGCTATGCTTTCCCATTGATCCATCCCATCCTTGCTATTCTTACTCACCTAGCTGAAAGAGGAGGATGGGTTTAGTTGTGGTGAGACCCTGGCCTGCATTGCTCACAAATGATATTTAGCCCCAGATTCGGGGGGGGGGTTCCTATGTCTAGACTCCAAGTCCCCCACGCAGCTACCATCACGGAACTTGGGCTTGCCAATGAACTTAGAGCTTATTGAAGACAGGGCAACGACAGACGGGGGGAGATCTTTTCCTGGGCGTCTGGTCAACTTGAGTCCTCAGGGATACAATTGCTCAGCGCTCAAGCAAAGGGCGCGGCTGCATTTGGAGAAGGGAAACCAGGTTCCCGAGACAGCTGTACTGCCCACGAGGACATAGTGTCCTCTTTAAAAAGTTTGCTGCTGTGTCCAAAACACCAAATACCTTATGTCACTTTGTTCTGTGGAGGCTTGGACTCCCAGGAGGCCTCCCAGCTCCTGTAACATTGGAGCTGACACTGGTGTCACCTTCCGCCCCTCTACCCGCAACCCTCTCCCCTACTAGTTTGCTTATGGGATTATTTATATAAGGGGTCAGACGGTGGGTTTCAAGGACTCACAGAGATGAAGCCGGTCTCCCATTGGACAGTGACCCGTCGTCTTGGAACGTAGCTGGACAGCAGACACACGCGAGACCCAGGAACTACCAAGGTTTGGAGTGGTTTCCCAGCAGACTTGCGTGTTGGAGCAGAGGCATTAATGCAGTGGTAGGGCTGGTGTGTGATTTTAGCACAGGAAGAGTCTTGCCTTGTCAGCAAAATGATGAGGAATAAGGAAGTGGACTAATTCAGAAGGAAGAGGGAATCTTGCCGTCTAGGGAACTGCATGTTGATATCCTAAGAGCTGTGTGTGCATGCGTGTGCGCGTGTGTGTGTGTGTGTGTGCGCGCGTGTGCGCACGCTTGTGTTACACTTGTGTAATGGAGGCAGAGGCAACAGGTAGAGAGGAGGTGGGCCAATAAAAAAAGTCAACTGAAGCGATCTCATCCAAATTCTGTCATGATGCACGCGACTTGACCAAAAATTGCTAAATCTGGACCTTACCACCTCAGGCCCAGCCCACTTCAACTCTGTTCAAACATTCAAACAAAATAAAAATCTATATCTACATCTAGAGATAAAAATAATTACATACATCTAGACAAATATATGTATTTTTGCTTTGTTAATATATAATTTTTTATAAAAATTTCAATAAAAATGATAAATGCTTATTATATAAAAGTTACCAGTAAAAAACAAGAGAAAATTAGTCAAAACCACTCCACCTAAAGCAACTTCTGTTTAGTAATTTTTAGAATACTTTTAGTTAAACCTATTTATTTAGTTTTAAAGATTTCATTTATTTGTAGTTTGTACGTATGGGTGTTTTGCCTGCATCTATGTATGTATACATGTGCATACAGTGCCTATGAAGGCTGGAAGAGGGGGCAGGATACCCCAGAACCAGAGTCACAGACATTGTGAGCTTCCTTTTTTTTTTTTTTTTGTGTGTGTGTGTGTGTGGTTTGGTTCTGAACCTGGGCCCTCTGGAAGAGCCACCTCTCCAGCCCCTAGACTGTTTTTAATGGTAATTTGAACTGTGCATTGGGTTTGAAAAGTAGAATCAACCATATTTAGATCCCACCACCTTTATTTATTTATTTGTTTTCCAGACAGGGTTTCTCTGTGTAGCCCTGGGTGTTCAGGAACTCACTCTGTAGATCAGGCTACCACGGACTGGCTATTTTTTTTTAAACTTGGAGATGAGATCAAGGCTGGTCTTGAACTTACGGTCCTTCCTCCTCGGGCTCCCGAGTGTCTGGGATTTAGGTGCGTGTCACTTGCTCAGCTTGGGTCCTGCTAGTTTTCACCACGTTGGCCATAGAGCATCTTCACTCTCAGCCCTAGCTAACATCCTTCCTTCCTTCTTTTTTACGCTACACATCCTCTATTCTCGCCAAACTCTGGCATTTTATTTTTGTCTTTCACTGCAAGTCACCCCAAATCTTTCCTACAAATTAAAGAGTTCATCTTCTCAGCCTGGCAGTGCCCTTGGTGATGGGGGCCTCAGGAATGTGTGTGAACTGATGATTTTACCTTCGCCGAAGCAGGTCTTCCCCAGGGACGGGGTCTGTAAAGCTAGGGGGATCAGAAGGGGGCATGGATGATGAGGTAGGTCTCCAGGGCAGCAGAGAGGTATCCCTGAGAGCATGCTGGGAGGGATACAGCAGAGAGCATGCTGGGAGGGATGCAGCCTCAACCAAGAACCAGCTGTGGCACTTCCGCAAGCCACCGTGTCTTTCTGAGCTTCAGTTTCTTCATTGTGAGACATGGACGATGGCTAACGCACCCTTTGCCAGCGCGGTGCCTGGATTAGGTGGATAACAGGTGATGGCCTTGGCACACAGTGGACCGAGGTTGAAAAAGGAGGTATCACTTCACTGCGTGTACTTGTCGTAGGTGGTGAAGCCAACGGTGTCTCATTTTGATGGTCCATATAAGGGTCTCTGGAGTATTTCTGAGACACAGTGCAATTAAAACCCGTTCGTCCACACTCCGTCTGGACAGAAGACGAGACGATTGCTGTTCCATAAGTAAATGCAGAAGAAACCGTCAATAGCTGAGGTAGGGGATTCGAAAAGACGCACGCGGTGACGCTGCCAGGTTTATCTGTGCATGCTCGGAATCCCAGTGTTTGGGTGGCGGAAGCCGAATCACTGTCACGAGTTTGAGGCCAGCCTAGGGTACAGAGTGAAATCCTGCCTTGAACAAACAAAACGATGTTCTAAGCAAATGTTGCTTAGACATATGTGCAGGCTACCCTGGTACAAAGCCCGAGAAAACTGAAGGTGAGAAGGGGCAGTGGGTGGTGCTGCTGATTTGGGATGGTGTAGGTTCAGGGGAGGAGGCTTCCTCTTGGGTGGTGGTTTGATGAATCAGTGACTTAAATACGGTTCCCAGACCCTAAGTGGATCCTCGGACCTCCACAGTGCTGGTCCACTGCTCAGGTCCCCTGGGGTCAATCTTTACCTTCCATTACCGTCTTGATCCAATCCACATAGTTGAGTACTTTGGTGTAGAAGCCATACCCCTTACCACACCCGACGCCCCAGGATACAATGCCTGTGGCCACCCAGTGAAGAGTACGATTGTCCCACACCACGAAGACGCTGCCACTGTCCCCTTGGCAGACACTATTCATCTGAGTCTCGTCCCCAACACAGAACATGTTCTCAGAAAACACCTCAATCCGCTGCCTCTGGCAGAGCCAGTCTTGACAGGCCTCCCTGGGAGCTACAGGCAGCTTTGAGTATTTCAGCTTAGTCGTTAACCAGCCCATCTCCACACCAAACCCACTGACATAGCCCCACAGGCCGCTGTGGTAGAGGGTCTCATTGTCAGGCAGACAGATTGGGAGGACGTTGGGGCCCAGGGGGACACTGTGCTGAAGCTCAAGGAGGGCAATGTCCCCGTTGAAGTTGTGGGACTCATACTGGCGGTAGTCTGGGTGAACCACGACCCTCCGGACAGGATGGTTCCCTAGTTTCAGCAGCTCGCCTATGTCTGTGTGACCGAGAAACACTTCCACACTCTGGTTCTTTCTGAGATAGACGCTGTCCTTGGGGTAAATGGTATGGGCAGCAGTCAGGATCCATCTGTCACCCAGCAGGGCTCCACCCCCACGACCGTAAATACTGGTGAAGGCTTGCCAAGGGAAGTTGCCCAGCTTAGCTGGGGAAGAACTAAAAGTCTTCGGGTTCTGGACAATGGGGATGACGGGTCTTCCACAGACTGCAAGAGAGGAGAGGGAAGGAGAGCAATCAAGAACTGCAGGATGTTAGAGACGTGTGAGGTGCTGTGGTAGGTGCAAAGAGACTCCCAGGTGCGAGGAGGCTCCAGGTGCGAGGAGGCTCCAGGTGCGAGGAGGCTCCAGGTGCAAGGAGGCTCCCAGATGTTACTCCTCAGAGGGCTAGGACCTTCCAGGTGTGTACATCACAAGCACTGATGTGAGCAGTGAATTAATCTTACATCATGGAGCACAAATCCTGCATGGAACAGGACAGTGGGGCCTTCTCTCCTGCCTTAGACATCATAGAAGCATTCCTTAGCTCTCATAGGGCTATCTCTGGTTCGAATTTTATTGTCAGTGCTTTTTGCCGATTTTCTGTACCACTCCTTGACTCCCAACATCTCCCACGCCACCCACTTCTTAACCCAGGCTCCCCTTTGTCTGTTCTGTGGATCACATTTAGTTAGGGGGCAGTACTTTTGTTTGAAAATATGGATTTCACTCAGGCATGTTGGTACAGGCTTTAATACCAGAATTTGGGAAACAAGCAGAAAAATGAGAAGTTCAAGGACATCTTTGACTACAGATTCTAGGGAGTTTGAGGCCATTCTGGTATATAGAGATAGTTTCAAAAAAAGAAAACAAAAACAAAAAAACTCAAAACCACCACCACAATCACCACCACCACCCAAAAAAAAAAAAACACACACAAAAAAAAGAATGAAGTGCTGTTATAATGTGGATGACCTTGAAAGCCTTATGCTAAGGTGAGAATCAGCCAAAAAAGACTCAAAGTGTGATTCCATTTGCATGCAATGTCCAGAATGGACAAATCCATGGAGGTAGGAAGTAGACTAGTGGTTGACAGGGCGAGTGTGTGTGTGTGCTTGCGTGTGTGCATGTGTGTATGTGTGTATGTGCGTGTACATGTGTGTGCGCATGTGTGTGTGCATGTGTGTATGTGTGCATGTGTGTGTGTGTGCATATGTATGCAGAGGCCACAGGTTAGTCTTGGCTGTCGTCTTTCCTCAAGTGTCTTTTATCTAAGTTTTTGAGACAGTTGCTTTAGGTTGGATGAGACCCCAGTGCTTTGATTACAAGTGTATTAATTTATTTGCACACACACAATAAATAGTGTGTGTTTGTTTTACTGGGGATTGACCTTATGTATAGACCACCTCTTAGGCAGGTGATCTACCATAGAGCTACCCCCTGCCACCTCTCTGAGACATATCTTGACATCTCCTCACTTTGGAGAGTGAGGGATGAGCTCTTTGCCTCTTCTTTTCTGGACCCTCTTTACATCATCATAAGCCTTCTTCCTTCACCTCTATTGTCTATTCCAGAACTTCCCTTTCACCCCATGTCCCAGCCCTCCCAGTAACAGCAGAGGCCACTGGCATCTGGCCACCACAACAGCACCAGGTGGGCAGTTACTCACCTGGCTCACATCGAGGAACCTCCTCCCCATCCTGTCTGTCCTTCAAAGTCCCCAAGGATGGACAGCTGAATGTCCCTGTGGAGCAGAATGAGGGACAACAAAGAAGTAAGCCCAGCACTGGGGGTGCCCAGCTAATAGGATAGGTACTCAGAGGCCTTGTGCCTTTTTAGAGGAGCAAGGCAGATGGGAACTATCTCCTCAACAGCTGGAGACTCACCAGTTTGTTTGGCCTCATAATAGGGATCTTGGCAGCAGTTCTGGATCCTGGGAGGGTCAGATCCAGGTGTGGTGACAGTCTCAGAGTCCCCATCGGGCTGGGTCACAGCTGTAGGGAAACAGCAGTTCTTAGGGACTCTTGGAGACTTGCAAACTGGCAACGTGAGAGATGCTTCTGCCTGTGTCTGTCTGGTCAGTGCACAGCTCAGCCGTGTCTGTCTGGTCAGTGCACAGCTTAGCCGTGTCTTATGGTCAGTGCACAGCTCAGCCGTGTCTGTATGGT